CTACATCCATCTCTGAGTTATGAAGAATATGTATTAAGGTTATAACAACCAACAAGAATGCACTTTTATGTAGAAATCCATGATTAAATCGAGTCTTCCTGACTAGTGATTTAAATCAAATCCACCCTGTGGAAAACAGAGGCTTATGGACACACTTGCACGTTAGAGGAAACAAAAAGCAGGGATGGTTAGTGATGGAGGTGCCCTTGTTCTCAGTGACCCTCCAGTCGTCACTCTTCCCCTCTCCTCTCACTCTGCTATACCACCTAGTTCATTTGTTCTTCCATGTTCCCTACTCTTCCCGGGAAGTCTCCTTAGAGTTATGACCTGAGGGGGGAGAAAGCAAGGAGTTCAGTCTCCAGGGACCATCCCCACCAATAACACGGCCCAGTAGTATTACGAGGGATGGTGGCTTTAACCAGGTGGGCACTTGCCCCACTAGGAACCGTGCCGAGATCCCGGTCTCATCTCCAGAGAAGAAGAATGATCTTGTGGTTAAGGCTCTGGATGGGGGCTGAAGGTTCAATTCCCGGCCTCATCTGAGACTGCCTGTATGACCTGTGGCAAGCCCCGTAATCTCTGTGTGCCTGGGTTCCCTCTCTGCGAAACGGGGACAATAATACTGCCCTGCCTCACTCACAGCAGTGTTATGGGGATATATCCATTAAAATGTGTAGGGTGCGCAGATACTACTAGGATGGGGATACCTACGTGGACTGATAAATTCATGGTCAAATAGGACATCTGCCAGCCAGGAATAATGAGGCACAGTGCACAGGACATGGTTGGGCTCTGCAGTGCCACCAAAGCTTGCCCAGCAGAGGGAGGTGTTGCTCTCACTACAGTTAAATGTCTGTGCTTGCTGTTGCTTCTCTGGCAGGGCAGCCCAGACATCTGTAGCTGACCAACTGCACCTTTGCCCTGAGATAGGATTGCTGAGGCCTGCTACTTTGCCACTCAAATGTCTCAACCAGGGTTGGCAAAACAAACCCCGAGATAACATAAAGGGGCTCACAAATACTCTACAGGCAGAGCCAGACAGCCGAAGGGCTAAGGGTCTAAATGTGGAAGACAGAGCAGAGCTAGGATCCTGTTGTGGGAGCACAGTGTATGGGAAGCCCTGAGACTGAATGAACGCCAAATGTTGTAGCTCAGTTCTCTTTGGGTGGGAGTGTGTGATTATTTTGGGGAACCCCTGGGATCCCCAGCTGCCCCACTGACTTGTTTTCTTTTGAACCCAAGCCTTCCACGAGCCCTAGTGATGCCTACGTTCCATGGCTCCTTGTCTCTCCAGCTCTCTCTCACATCAGATATTTTCAGACAACTTCACCATTCCATTCTCACTGGATTCCTGTTTACACTCACTTGGTAGCCACAAAGGGATCCAAACACATTCCACCACTAACCTCTCAGACCAAAGGGGAACAAATAAGCATATTTCTCGCGCCCCAGTGAGCACCAAACAGCGGGGCTTGCTGGAGGTGATGGGGCTGGGCAGAAGGGCGGTGAGGGAACACTGCTTCACTGAAGCACTATCGTCCCCAGGACACCATATTCAGTCCTGTTCCACTGAGGGCACTCCTGGGATCATGGCTTCTCTCAGAGCAGTGGCTCAACCTGGCACCACACCATTTCTGGGACCATCACTTCACCGGAAACTGTGCTGGCCTCAGGAATGTCCCTTCCCTAGGATCATACTGCCCTTTGGGCCACCAATCCCCAGGAACCACTCCTTCCTCGAGCGTGATACTTCATTAGGAGACGCTCCGGTTGTGGTTTGTATGTATCTAGCACCTTTGCTGTGCATCCCATCAAACAAAACTTGAAAACATCTACCAGTTGTTTACTTGTCAAGACATGAAAGTCCATCCTGGTGAGAAACGCAGCTCTCCTGCCACCAGCTGCTGGGAAGGGTGAGGGTGCTGTCCCTAGACCATGCTCCAGGGCTCCATTTTTATGTCAGCCTCTTGCTAGTGTCTGATAAATGTGAAGCTCCCACTCAGCCATACCTTTAGCTGCTGAGAGACAGGAGCCTTCTCTCTCTTTGTTCTCCTCAAGAGCCTCCTGGCTGCTGTGAAGGAGGAGGGTCTCCACTAATTTAAGCCAACCCATGCCTCCTGTCTGTTGCAAGGAAGACAGGGAAGATGAGGCCACTGATCTTCTACTCTACTCCCAGCCTCTGTTTTTTGGGCCTTCCTCCCCTGTCAATAACTATCATCTGCAGCAGAGGCAGGCACTGCTTTTCCAAGGAGCATCGTGAAGTTGATATGAATCTAGACAGCTGCACTGCTGCCCATGAGGTTGGGAAACTAACCGGACTCTTGTTAGCTTCAATCTTCAGCTGTTTGGCAAAGTTCTGAACTGCAGAAGCAATGGAGCTGTCAAGATGCCGCCACATTGGTTTCCCACTCGGAAAGTTATCTTGGCAACGACATAAACTAGAAGCTTATATTTTCTTTAATGGGAGCTTAGAATGTGTGGAAGAAGACACTTCAGATCCCCTCACTCACCCAGGTAAACTTCTGCCTTATCCAGAGTGAATAGATTTTTCTAGCCTTGTACAGATGACTGCCACCACATCCCCCAGCCCTTGAGTGCACTTTATGTCAACATTGCGTACTCTATCATGTTATTTCCCACGTCCATGACTCCCTCTTTCCCTCAGTGCAAGGCGTCACGGTGACTCACCAGGTGGTTGTTCTCGTAGACATTGTCCTTGGAGAGTGAATCAAAATCTCTGGAACAAGAAATCACAGAGGGGTGATATGAGAAAAGGGAGGAATGGCTCCACAAGACACCACAAACAGGTTCACGGGACAACCAATATTACAAGGGCATTTCAACAACAAAAAGCCAAACTCCCAGACAAACAAAACCTTTGTTAAAGTAGATTTAAGACTGCAAACAGGGCAAGAGACGGTAAGAGAATTTTGCAATTTGAAAAAACACAAAGGGCCGAAAAGCCAGGAAATTAAGACTTTATCATCATCAGCTGTATTCCAATAGCACCTAAAGGCTCCAGCCAGTATTGAAGTGATAGAGTAGAAGATTTAAGATGATGTATCAAAAACACCCCAAACATGGAGAAATACAGAAAAAGTGCCTCAGACTACTCCAACTCTATCCTCATCTCCCCAACACCCAATGCCCACGTCTGAGGCAGATGATCAATCAAATACAGTTCTGCAGCTAGATGAAACGTTAAACACTGGATGCCTTGCTGATTCAGACAAGAATCTGGGCATCTGGGAACACTTTAAACCCCAGCATACTCTGGCATTTCATATGCAGCTGCAGACAACTTAAATCGTAGCCAGTGGAGCGTATATGTAGCCTATCTACAAGGGTTTAAAATATCCTGTGCCAGGGGAGGCCCAACCAGTGTGGAGAGTAAAGAGTTAAAATGGTTGTAAGATTTCCAGTACCTGGTGTGAGGAAAATATAGGATAGGAGTTGGCTATGTCTGTGGTGTGCATATGAAGTGTAATGACAGCATCACTTTGTGCTTGTTACAACACCGTCCAGCTGATGATCTCAGCATTCTATACTAAACAATGAACTCAGCATCACAGCATACCTGTGAGGTAGATAAGTATCATCTCCATTTTAAGGTTGAGGACACAAGCCCAGAAATTAAAGGTCAGAATGGGCCACTCTTACTTACATTTAGTACTTTAACCCAGGAGGAGTCTGACTGGTTGTGGCTACACTAAAAACAAAATGTCCTCATCTTTACTGTCCCAGTTTAGCTTCGCAGCAAAGCTTAGGCCTTGGCTACACTGGCAATTCACAGCGCTGCACTTGCTGCGCTCAGGGGTGTGAAATAACACCCCCCCTGAGCGCAGCGAGTGCAGCGCTGTAAAGTGCCAGTGTAATCAGCGCCTGCAGCGCTGCACGCTCCCTCGCAGCGCTGCAAGCTATTCCCCTCGGAGAGGTGGAGTACATACAGCGCTGCGAGAGAGCTCTCGCAGCGCTGGCGACGCGACTACACTTGCGCTTCACAGCGCTGCCGAGGCAGCGCTGTGAATCCGCGAGTGTAGCCAAGGCCTTAGTGTAAAGATGGGTAATACGACTACTCCCAGCATGAGGAAGGATGGAAGAAAGTCCCTCAGTGACTTTCCCAAGGTTGCACAGGAAATCTGTGAAACACTGAAATAAACCCCAGTCACAGTCTCTGACACAGCAAGAATATACTTCCTCTGTTCAGAGGCAAAACATTGGTGTTGCTGTTCTCACCAAAGACCAGTGGAGTTGGAGGCTAGACCCTGGTCAAGTAGGTGGCACATACGGATGTGTTCACACACACTCCCACACACATGTATGCTGAGCATTGTACCATGTAATGGGAGCATGTGGGAATACAAGGGCTGAGTTAAGGTTATTTGATGTATCTTAACTCTTCGTTTCCATATTTGGCATTTTTTCCTATCATCCATAACCTTAACTTTGGATTTACTGGCTCACAGCTGTCTGTGTGGGGTTTTTTTTTTTAAAGACAAGGGTCCATACAGGTGTTTTCCCCGTAAATATTTATGATCATAACTCAACTAAAGGGCTTTTTTGGCCTGAGAATTCTGTTTGTTCTGTTTTTCTTAGAAACAAGACGCTCAGCAACACAAGAGAAGTGACATGAGATCAGAGTGAAGGCTGACTGGAGTATGTTAACCTTGTATCTCCCTTTTCAAAAATAATAAGCGTCATTTGAATTTCCTAGCTTTCCTTTTGTACATGATTGGCTTGGAAACTGAGCACTCGTTTTGGTGGAGTTTGTAGCAACCATAGCACTGGCCAATGAGGAGCATCCAAAGCCAGACCAAATATAAAATAATCTTCACCCCTATCCCTAATCTCTTCTGCCAACTCAAAACCACTTTATTTCAGACAGGCCCATTCTGGTTGGGTGGGTAGGGTGTGCATGTGGAAAGAAGATGATGATGAGTGTTACCAAGTGATTGGGAGTGCGAAGATACAGGTTGCTTTGCTAGTAAGGCAGGATGGAAGGGGCTCAACTTTGACTGTAGAGAATAAATTCCACAAACACTATGCTCCACCTGGTCTCCTTCCTCAGATCTACATGGTGAGAAACGTAGCACACAAATGGTGGGTAGGTTTCAGCCCATCCCCCTCTTTTCCTGTCCATCACACTCCTTCTTTTACAGCTCCATCTGGCCCTGAGGAGCCCAAGTTCTGCTCCGTGGGGCACACAACAGCACCCAGGGAGGGAGTAACTAACACACATTGGGGTGGGGCCTTCCAGTGCATTTGGGTGCTGCAGGTCAGTAAACCTCCAGGAAAATACACCCCTTTAGCTTTATTTGGCGACTCCTGGATTGAAATACCAGAATTTAGAATTTCACAACTATCTGGCACCTCGCTAAATATATATCACTACTTTGGCATCAGCCTAAGGCAGTCCCATAATATCTGATTCATGGGAATACTGTCTTGATGAAGCATCTGTATTACCATTCCTCATTATTAAATCAGTTTCCTGGAAGACATCCCATAGAATGATTGCCCTGATTCAGCAAGTCCCAACAAAGCAGAACACACTTGGAGTCAGAATTTCCATGGATATAGCATCTTTCATCCCAAAGTGCTTTGCCAATTACACAGATACAGCAGCAGTAGTGGCCTCTGTGGTTTAGGACAACAGCCAACAAGCCCACAAAATACTGGGAGGCAGGGGGCATTTTGTACAGCAAACAGTAGAGCAAACTCCTATATTTTTCCAAAATACGTTGTGGGCTCTTTAACGGCCACACATAGCAGGGAGAACTTCAGCTTTTAAGACCCTGTCTGAAAAATCCACACAGCATACTGCATAGAAATCTCTCTCTCTCACAGAGGAATAGTTGAGCTGACCCTGCCGGGATTTGAACCGATGACTCAACGCAGACTAAATATTTCAATTCTGATGTTGCTGTGGTGTGTCCCTCCTTCTCCTCTCGTTTTCGGTGTACATTTGCTTCTCTCTCTCCACCGAAAATGCCGAGGCCAGACACTGTCCTATTCTTTCAGTGTCTATACCCTGAAAGTCTCCATCCACAGGCTCTGTGCAAGGCAGCAGTGCAAGGACATGGGAAGAGATGTTCATTCTCCCACGTACATGGCTGCTTCTTGCTTCACCAAGCTCCAAGGGAAGCCCACTAAATACTTACATTGTGCTTTAGATTTTCAAAGCACTGTCCAAGCATTAGCTAATTAATCCTCTCAGCCCCCTGTGAAGTAGGCCTGCATATATTATTCCAGTCTTACAGATGGGGGGGAAAGACGTTAAGTGTCTTGCCCAAGCTCACACACTCAGCCTGTGACAAAGCCACAAACTGAACCCAAATCTCCAGAATCTCAGTCCAGGTCTCAGCCAGGAGACTGACCTTTGTTGCCCGTTTTACAGATGGGGAAAACAGGCACAGAGAATCTGAGTCACTTGCCCAAGGTCACAAAACTAGTGGGGGTCAAAAGCAGAATTAGAACCCACATCTCCAGACTCCCAATCCTGTGCCTAACCCCATAGACCACAGTACCCCAGCAGCAAATTGCTTAGGCTCATATTTTTAACACCCCTGTGTTTGGGTGCCCAACTTGAGCTACCTGGGGCCAGATTCTAAAGGTGCTGAGCACTTGCAGCTCTCATTGCTTCTTTTAGACTCACGTTGCTTCCAAAAGTCTTGTCCCATTTGCCTGAAGCTTTCCAGTAGAGTGTATCTACACCCAGCAATAAGATCCCACCTGTGGAATTTCAAATTAATTGGACTAGTTTGAGTGGACGTAGGAGAGCAAGAATGGAAACTAGCTTCACTTTCAACAATGGCAAGAGACAGGCTATGGTCTCTGCATCATTTCATGAAAAGGCATCACACCCCTCTTCTCAAACAGCTTCCCCTTCACAGCCAAGAACTTAACAAGACAAGTACATCTCACTTGGGGGCACAGCAGCTGTTCTGCGCTAGACACCCCATGCAGCAAGAGCATCCAGATAATAGACAGGCTAGATGCTTTACACGTAACTAATAGATAAATAGGAGAGGCACAAACTGAGACGCTCTAGAACCAGAAGAAACCCTAAGGAGCAGAGCGCTGGGTTAGCATTATTACACAGAAGTGAGTTCCATGACTGAGCGCCATCCAGCTCAGCACAGCTGCTGCATGCATATGTCGTTTCACACCCTGATGGAGCTGGAACATGATAGCATATAAATGCATACGTATCCAGAACTTCAGAGTCTCTTGGGTTCACACCATTGCAATCGGCATGAGCAGCAGCAGCACAGTTGTTTGAAAGCGGCTGGAATGGCCCATTACATTGGAAGCCCATTAACTGGCCAGATATTACTACCAAGAGGATTGAAGGTGCTTTATAAATACAATTTAGCAGAACAGGGGGAATGCTTTTGCTCCGCTGTCTGAGAGATTTATTACTCCATATCCTTGAGTTTCCAAATCAGGACATGCTGAAGCGACTGAAATCAGATGAGACGGCACACCCTTCGGCCACCCCTTGAAAAATCCTTCCTTAACATGCTATGTCCTTGTAAGGTCCTAGGTCTGTTTTTACAATACAGTTCACTCCACTTAACTGAGATGCTCTTAGTTAAGATATCTGCCAGGGAACTGATTTGAGCCCACTGATACTAAGAGCAAGCTTAAGGGGATGGTAATTCCACTTAATGAGGAAGCCTTCAGATGACTTAGGGGTGCTTACTGTAAGGTTTTGGATATCTCACTTTCATGCTGGCCCTGTTGGTTTGCTTTTCAGCCCCTTAATAGCTGAGATAAATGCAAAAATAAAAACGGTATGAATTGCTACTCGTCCCTGTTTTAGTTTGCCTCTTCCACACCAGTGACCCATGCTGAGCATTGTGCAGGTGACTCCTGAAATAGGCAGGCAATAGACTTGGTCTCTAGCCCACTAATTCAGATAGCACCTGGAGGCTAGCCCGAGCTCTGCCCCTTCCACCTGCCCCTCCCCTGCAGTCGGACCCCCGAGACACCCCCTACACCTGGAGGAGCCCCGAGCGCGCCCCCCTCAGCCAGAGGAGCCCCGGGCCGACCAGAGACCCAAGCGCCCCCCCCCCCATTGGCCAGAGTCCAGGGAGTACTGATGAACCTGGGGAGCTGGATAGCATGTACTGCCTCCTCAGCCATCCCAGAACCTGCATGGGGCATAATAAATCAAAAAAAATTCCCCCCCAAACCCTGCAACTGGGGTCTGACGGCCACAGCAGCGCCAGGGGCCTATTATACCCGCCGCCCATGCGCCTTCTCCTAACTACATGGGCCCGTTCTGTAATAGGATGTGTGCTGCCGCTCCTCAGCCACATTAATATTAAAACTGTGTCTTCTGTTAATTGGGTAGCAATCTTTAGGGCACCTAAACAAAAGAGGAGTCTATTGTGCTAAGCAACCTCAACTGGGGTGGTAAGAAAAATGCCTTGGTTGTAGAAGGAACATGCACTGCTGTATGTCAGATTTAAGAGACTAGCCTATGGGTGAGAAGAAATGTGTGTACTAGGGACAAGGGGAGAGCATCAGATCACTAGTCACAGCAAAGACTGGAACAGACAGATGGTGGATTTCTGAGCTGGCCACAGCATGCAGCTTGGGGGAGGAGTGGGAATCATCTCAGCTGCCTATCTGGCTATATGATTTCTCCAGGAGGAGAGCATCACCCCCAGCAACACCATTCCCAAACTCACCTGTCTCTGTCCCTCTCATTAATCTGTCTGTTAGTCCATCCCCTTCTACCCAAGAGCCTCCTGCAAAAGGAGTGCAGACTGAGAAACTAAATTCCAAGCCATTAGCATGGTGGGAAGCCCTAGTGGCTATTTTCCACTGTCATCATCACTCATTTCTGGTGTTCAGTGCGGCATTATACAAGTTAAGCCTGCACCTGGCACTCCCCTAACCCAAGATCAGAAAGTCCCCCACTGAAGCAGCATGCCCTCCTCGCTGGCACTTAATCAGGCCAGGAAGAAACTGAATCAGCACACAAACCTCCACTGAAAAATATGCATACATACTGAATCACAGGAGCCTAGGAAGGACACCTGTTAAGTAACATTTGTCCATCCCTCATTCCTGGCCAATGCAGGATCATTTCCTACAGCATATTCTCCGGTGCTTTGTCCATACATGCTGCATTTATAAACAGTTGTTGGAAAGGAAGAATCTTATTGACTGAGACAGTGCTGGGAATTTTCAAAATAAATGCAAAAATGCCTTAGCCAACAGAATATCACATATCGGGCACAAGCTGCGGTAATACTGTATAACCCCATTTTGGGGAGAACAAGGTACATAGGATGGTATTAGGAACATCACTTCCCATTTACTTCCAACTGTCCTCATCAGACTATCCTGTAGGATTTGATAGTGACAGTTCCAGAGATAGGGGTTAGGGCTCCTTCCCCAAGCCTCACTTTTATTTATTTTTTATTTTTTCAAATAAGAGAGTGATTTGTCCTGTGATGAGCACAGGGGACGGGGAATCAAGAATTCTGCGTTCTATTCCCAACTCTGACTGGATAATGTGGACAAGTCACATAACATCTCTTTGCCTCAGTTTCTCCCTCTGTAGAATGTGGGTAATAATTAACAGATACTCGAAGCTTAATTCATAGAGTTGATAAAGTGTTTTCAAGATCCATGGATTAAAGACCTTAGACACATGTAACCTATTATTATTATTAAATTCCAAGGGCTACAGCTATTCAGATGCAATAAACGTGAAAGAACTCCACTTGCAGTCCAGGAAATGTTTTAAAGGTGCTCCCACATACGCACACCCAGGAGCCAGTCTCCAAGCATCCCAGCCCAGTCCTCCCGCTGGCCCAGCTCCCCCAACTCTTCTTAAACCCCAGAACTAAAAGACACTAACAGACACTCCGTTAACGCCCTTTGTAAACCCCAGAGGCAGGAGGGGTCCCAGAGCTCCCTGCACTAAATCCCTACACATCTGGGTGTCAGGGTCACCTCCCCTATAGCCTAGGTATGAGGATGGTTCCCCGGTGCCTCTGCCCCAGGGAGCTGGGGGGCCCTGGGCTCCCTTTCCTCTATCCCAGGGCGTTTCCCGGTGGCCCTATCCCCCCCCCGTCCCTCAGGGTTCCCGGGTGCGGTCTTCCCCGCCCCGTGTAGGGGCCGGAGCGAGGCCCCCGGGCGGCCGCGGCCGGTGCTCAGGCGAGCCCGGCGCTGCTGGGCCTGGTGCCGCTCCCGGCCCGGTACTCACAGCAGGTCGGGCCGGTGCCGGTGCAGGATGGCGCAGAAGGCCAGGCCGTCGCGGAAGGAGCTGCTGAGGTCGCGGATCTCCACGCCGGGGTAGCCCTCGCACTGGCGGCGGCACCAGGCCTGCAGGGCGCCCCGGGGACCCGACATCGGGGCGGATCCGGAGGTCAGGGCGCCGCCGCCGGGGGGAGCCTCATGGGGTGCGGACAGGGCTCCGCGCTCTCCGGCCCGGGGCCGCGGTCCGGGCCTGGACGGCTCCCGGGAGCGGCCTGCGGGCTCCTGTCCCTGCGCTCGGCCCCGGCGGGCAGGGGGCTCCGCCTGCGGGGCGGGGATCACAGGGCTCCGGGGCCGCGGCTCCGCTGCGCTCCGTGCCCCGCCGCGGCTCGCGGCTCCCTCCTACCCCCTGCGGGCGCCGGCTGCGCCTCCCTCCCCGCGCCGGGCTCTGCTCAGACCTGTCCCCGCCGCTCCTCCGCCCAGCACCGCACCCCGGCTCTTCCTCGGCCCGAGCCGCGGCGGGGAGGGTCCCACCCTGGCACGGGCCAGGGGCCATGGGGCAGGGCCTGGGCGCTCGGCATACCCCGGGGCAAGGGGGAGTGTCCCGCATTGCCACCCGGTACCTCGTGTCCAGCTGGCCCTGGGCATGTCCGCTGTCTGAGCACGCCAGGGGTCTCGCCTGCCCCGTGCCAAGGGGTTCCCTGAGTGCCTGCTATTAACCACGGGGGGCTTCCAGCGCTCCTGGCACTGAGAACAATAATAGAGCCAAAAAGAAGGTGGGTGAGATCATAACTTTTATTGGCACAACTTCTGTTGGTGGGAGAGACATGCTTTGGAGCTGCACGGAGGGCTGGGAAAGGTACTCCCCTGTCTCCCAGCCTGCAGCCGCTCAGCTACGTGCAACATGTTTAAGTATAGTAGTTAGCACTTGTATTTTAAGGGACCATTCAAGATAGAGTAGCCCTTTAACACCTCTGCAGTCATAGGACAGAAAGGGGGAGGGGGGCCTAGTGGGTTACAGATTGTTGTAATAAACCAGAAATCCAATATCTCTGTTCAGTCCATCGTTTTTAGTGTCTAGCAGAGTAATGAATTTAAGCTCCCAGGCTGCTCTTTTGAAAGTGTTTTGCAGGTTTCCTTTGAGGATGAGGACAAAACTGAGAATAATATTTAATATTTTATTTACCCTCTGTATACAGCCCCATAGGTATGCATGGTGCTTACCAGATAATAAAGTCACAGGCCCAATCCAGGGAGTTTACAATGTCAGTTAAAACTGTGTACTTGGGTATCTGATAGCACGTGAGATGTGTGTTCTTATGGAGGGACCCTGGAAACCAAATCAGAAACTGGTTAGATGAGTGAGACTGGAGCGGGGTGTGACTCAGACTGGGTGCGGTAGGGCATGTGCTTTGTTGGTGCAGCTCTATGCAGATCCCTCCCTTCGCCCTTACTAACCCAGCGGAGAAAAATGGGCTCCATCCATTACTCAGTAGCTTGGCAGGGATGGCCTAATTTGAGCTCCTTCCCCAGGGCAGCGGGAGAGAACAGCAGGATTTTGTGTATCAGGCACTCTGGCTAAACAATAGGAATATTATGGTGCGTTTGGCGCCAAAGGAGGGAGAGGAGAGTGGGTGGCTTGGCAATCCACACTATATTATGTACCCCCCTTGCACATCTCACAGGGTCTGAAAGGTTCTGCTGCTATAAGCAAACCAGTAACTCTCCTGAACTCCCACATTCTTACTGGGCTGCATCCAGCCAGCCAGTTATTAAACATTTTGCTGCCCTAGACAGCTACCAGCCCTGCCTCCACCATGCTTTGGGCCTGTTCTTCCAACTCTCTAGGCATTTGCTACCTAAGAATGGAATGTCCTGATTGAGCATGTTTTTGGTCTCAACCTAGTATTAATAAAACATACCACTGCAAGCCACAATTCCTTTAACAATCTGTGGAGCCTGCTCTGTGTGCTGCCTCCAATGCTTTCCAGTGTGCTAGAAATATTTCATTGCCCATACTTCACAGATGGGGTGAACAAAAAACCAGGGGCAGAGTTTAATCATAGGTTGCTTTTCTGTAGTGCTTCTCACCCATAGATTTGAAAGCACTTCACAAAGGAGGATGAGTATTGTTATCCCATTTCACGGATGGGGAAATTGAGGCTCAGGGAGGTGATGTGACTTACCCAAGGTCACACTGCAGGTCAATGGCGGAGCAGGGAATGCAACCCAGATCTCCTGAGTCCCAGCAGGGTATCTTGGATACTCAGTGATGGGCACTGGAAAATCCTACAACAGAATAGGTGTAATCTTCCTACTTATGCGCGCTGTATAGGATACCCCCTACCTTTGGGGGGAATTTAAGCTATGGATCCTGCAATGAAATTTCAGAAGCTGTTTGCAAAATGTACGGAGTCATGAACTGAGGTAGATGGAGTTTTAGGGGCTACCAGGGCTCTCAGAAGCATTTTGTTCAGTGGTGTTTTTTGCTGGGACATGGGCTGGAGGAGACATGTTTCCAGATAGTGCATGAGGATTCCACCAAAGGAATGCCATGCAGACCTCAAGCTCAAATTAATGCAAACAGAACCCATGCTGAAACTGTAAACACAGCTCCTGACCTTCAAAACATCAGTGTCAAGAGACAGACATCAGAAGACACTAGTTCCCCTGGGGGGGTTGGGAGAGTTTATTCTGTCTCTTGGCTGTCCTCCATTCAATACTGTCTGACCCCTCAGTATAGCTACACACCAGTCTCAGGAATGAGGAGCCATGAGCTTTTTGCCATTTTATCCAATCCCCAGCACTCTATAGGAATCTGAGATGGGAATGACCATAAGAACGGCCATACTAGGTCAGACCAATGGTCCATCTAGCCCAGTATCCTGTCTTCTGACAAGAGCCAATGACAGATGCTTCAGAGGGACTGAATAGAACAGGCAGTCATCAAATCCCTTGTGGCCCATTCCCAGCTTCTGGCAAACAGAGGCTAGAGACACTCAGAGCTTGGGGTTGCATATTGGATCACATCATCTCTGTCACCCCCGCCCAGCCCAGGATTAACTGCAGTATACTCTCCAGAGCTTTGTCCCATCTTGTTTTAAATTGCTGAAGTGGTGGAGCTTCCAGCTTTTCTGGCAATACTATTCCACAGTCTAATAGACCGCACTGTTGATAAATGCTTCCTGATGTTCTGTCCTGGCTCTTGTACACCCCTCATCACTGTGGTATCGGAACATCTTCCAGTAGTGCATTAAGCAGTGTGACTAACATCTCTCACTGTGGTTCTTCCTGTCTCTCGTCCGCTCCCTGAGAGAAAATGGTGTGAGGATATTTTAAATGTGTACGTACATCGTATTATATATTTAGATTGGTAAATGCGAGATCAAAGAAGGGGGCTCTGCACTTGGAGCGGAAGGTGGTGATGTTTATGATAATTCTTAGTTCCTGTGGAAGTTTGGTCCGAATCTTGAATTAGCAGCTGAGAGAGCTCTGCGCAAACTGCACTCCTGCTGCAGGCAGTTTTGTTGTTGCTAAGGAGCGGAGCAATTGACTGCAGTCTTTGTCTCTGAGCTATAGTAGCCTGGACTTTTTTTTTTGCAAATAGTAAATTAGCCAAAAAACGCATGGATTTGATACAAATTTGCAGAATTGTTTCAGCCAAAAATTCTTTTTGGGGACTAAGGTGTCATTTCACACAACAGCTGGAGTAGGTGGTGCTACTGCCTCCTTTAAAATCTCAGGACTGTGGGTAGGATAATCATCTGGGTTGTGGAAGGTCCAGCATCAATTCCTCCCTCTGCCTGATGTGGAGACAGGATTTAAACTTAGCTCTCCCACACTGCAGGAGGGTGCTATGGGCTATTCTGATATGGGCCTTTCTCAATCTCTACTGTTGAAGCTCTTCCAGTGGGTATAAATAATAGAGCAAGATTTGAAGTTGGGCTTCCCATCTCCCAGAGGTGAGTGCCCAAACCACCAGGCTATAGAGGCAATCGCTCTGGCCTACTCTGTAATGAGTTATACGAAGTGGAACAGCTTCAACAGGTGAGAATGAAACCCAGTGGCTAGAGTATACGCCTGCAACATGGGAGACCCAAGTGTCAAATCCATTCTCCATATCAGACAGAGGGGAAAATTGAACCCAAGTTTCCCACAACCCAGCTGAATGCCCTCACCCCTAAACACTCTAAAGCTTCTCAAGGAGGTGGTGCCTGCACTACCTCCTCTTGGGTTTTGGATCTAGCCTTTTAAAAGCACCCTGCCCAAGATGTTCCAGATCAAACATTTCATTCATCCCAAAATGGTCTTTTTCAAGTCACCAGCATTTTTCAAATTCAGTTAGACCCAAACCAGCATTTTTTCAGAACTGCCACCAAACTGAAAAATCATGTATTCACACAACTGTAATTGAATGCTTTGAAGATAAAGGCTAAGGCCTTGAACTGGACACTGTCTTCCATAGGTAGCCAGTGGAGGAAGCAGAGGACAGCTGTGATGTGCTCGCAGTAGCCCATGTTGCTGAGATGAGTGGTCACATTGTGCTAATATTCATTCCCTACATCTACCCTAGCTCAGTTTCATCCCATTTGATCATGCTAAAATTCCACTTTCCTCTTCAGGGTTTACACCTTTTAAATACTTGTATAGCTGCCAGGACCCAACTTGAGGAACACAGAGAAAATTGTTGAGCAGGTATCTTGAAATGACATGGCATAGGGGAAGAGGAGGAGTCACCTTTTGCATCAAGAATATTTTTCGTATGACCGTGCTGACTATTCAACACCACTGTAGCATGGCCATGAGGTTGGTGTTGTCTAGGCAGTGTATGCCCCACAGTAGTCGGTGGTGAATGTGGATGTGACACTCAATCAGAATTGGAAAAGTTTCTTCAGCTGGATTTTCTTCTTTGCCAGGCTCTATGCTTGAAGTAGGACCAGCTCCTTTACTGCCACAAGTCATCAATGGCAGCAACCTGTGCTGATGGCCCATTGAGCAGAACCACTTTGGCCAGGATTGCCCGAGGGGGCTTTCCCAGTCAGACTCTGCCCCCTCAGATGAGGCTGGAGGTAGGGATTATAACAAAACCATCTCCCCTCCCTTGAGAACAGCATTAGTGACATTCCTAGTATGACTGCTGCTGAATGCCCTGCATTCCTCCAGTTTCAACCAGTGCCAGGCACCACATCTAGCTGAGCCCATCTTTCCACCCCAAGGACTGCAGCGCCTTTGGCTTCTTTCCACAAAGCCAGCCCCTTTCAGTTAACCTTTCACAGCCTCTACTCCAGGGCACAGAGCCAGTCATACCGGCTGCAAATGTGTAACATATTATGTGCAGCATGAGGAAATCTTTTGACAGATGCAAGCTGTGGAACTGGCATGTTTGACTATCTGAGAACAATGCATGCGACTGTAATTATTTAAGGTTTAAAATGGTGTATGTGCAATTAAAGTGTCTATAATCCTAACATACCAGTGACAGATTAAGAGTAGGCTGGGTCCCTTTAGCAGCACTCTTGCCTTACAGCAGTGGTTCCCAAACTTAACAATCTGTGAACCCCTTTCACTAAAATATCAAGTCTCATGAACCCCCTC